TTGTCCAAGCATTTCACTACATATCGTACTGTGTATGACTGTGTACGTGACAAATAAAATTTGAATTTATAATAGGGTGCAAAACAAGAAATCAATTTTAGTAACTGCAGCATTCACTGCGATGCTCAGATTTAAAAACAACAACAACAACCAAAATGAAGACTTACAAAATGTGTTTATTCATTTAAAATCAGACATGAAAACATCACCACCACCACCACCACATAACTGAAACATGGCCGGAGGGACAGGCAGCACATATCGCATGAGAAGGCATTTCCGTGACTCATATGTACATATACACATTTTGTACACAGTAAAAATATAGTAATCGAAGCATATAGGACAACCAGCAACGGTGGCTCAAGAGCCGTATAACACATTCATGTAGAAAAAAGCATGGAGAAAATCATCATGGAGAGAATATATCTATCGTATCACAATCCAAACATGAAATATAAAAAGTGAAATTGTCAAACAGTCTCCCTTTATAGGCAACACATGCTATAAAGTTTCAGACATCCTTCTGTCAGTATACACTTTACTTACAATCATCTAAAAAGGTACATAACACATCACTTCAACCTACAGCAATCAGTCGTATCAATAAATATGCTTCTTAGAGCTGAAAAGTGGCAGATTGTGGTTCATATTGCATTACTTCAAATTCATTGTAGTGTCTACTACTGAGTGTACTGCCTTAGAAGCACCAAAGGAGGTTTTTCCTTTTGTCACGGTGTAGTACATTACTCCAGCAAAACTGGTGTGCAGCCAGCAAGTAACCAGTGCAACCAATTTAAAGAAGTCATCACATAAAAACATCAAAATGCAGCTCTCGCAAAATCAAACCCGGACTCGTTCTGATCTGAAGACACTGTCAGAGTGTTTACTCTGTTGGCTGTGGCATTTCATTTGTGTATTATAACTGTGATTAGTTTACATTTCAGCAAACTACCAGAACTATTTCATTTCAAGTATAACTAAAAGGTTCTAAACGCTACCACAAATGAATGAATTTCACAGGAATGTGGAGATAAATCTTGAAATGAAGAAATAATTGACAAAGAAATGTTATCAGGCTCTGGATTTTACGTCAGATAAAACTTTCAACGTCAGGAAAAACAAAATACATCCAGTTTAATAATAAATCCTTAAACACAGGTCAGCCCAGTGTTATTACCATACAGAAGCCATCAGTCCATGCAGTAATCTAAAGCCCTCGCCCTCAGCCTCACGTTAACTGCACTAAATCTTCAGTCTACTCTGCTCTTCTCTTTGGTGACTTGCTTATAATACAAAAAGACTTAAATCGTCAGCTGTGCATTGATGAACATGAGTAATTTTCCTTCTTTCTCTATTCACAGCTCATATTTCTTCCCAAGCCTCTCTGCTGCATAGACCACATGTGCTCAACAAACATAAATAACGATTCTTTAAATGAGATTCAAGTTTTCCTTCAGTCACTTTGTAGTGATTTCTCTATCAGAAATATCTCTTGGGGTTAGAAAAAAAAAATCACTTAGGTAGAATAAACACAGCCACATTGAAGCTGAGCAAGACTTCATAAAAACACGATACAAAAATTACTTATCGTTAATAATATTGGTCTGAGTGGATGTGAGCGAGTGTCATTTCTGTAACCAGCAGAAATGAGGAGGCCGGTATATCCTTCAATGTATGATGTGACAGGGAGCGATGTGATTGGCTGAGATGAAAAACCGCAGTGACCGAATACCTGACGTAATCAAAAAAAGGGAGATTGTAATAGATTTTAAAACTGAAAGTCTGAAAAGTGACTCACTGGTTGGTCGAGACGTATAAATGGCAGTTTGAGGACTTCAGCTGTAGTGATAAGGCAGGTTTCTGTGTAACCAGTGCACTCACCTGTAAAAAGTGTCAGTTTTCATCGCATGTAAGGGAAGGGGACAAACACGGAAAGGCACAGACATGATGCACGGCAACTTTAAATTAAAAATTCAACAGCATCTACTGGTTAGCAATGCTGTTACACTTATACTTCAGCACATACGGCCATAAACAGAGAGGGGAGATGTTCAGGTTAGTATAAATGTGATCTGCCATGGTAACAAGACTAGGGATGGGTATCGAAACCCGATTCTTGTTGAGAACCGGTTCCCACTGTTTCAATTCCTTGGAATTGTTTGCCATTTTTGCAAACGATTCCCTTATCGATTCCAGTCGCCCCGAATGACGTCACCACGTTGCGGAGCGTCATTTACCTGGCAGGAAACAGGCGGCTCAAACGCTCAAAAGTTTGGTTATACTTTACTGAGAACGGATGACAACAGGGCAACTTGCAATACTTGCAAAGTAGATATTTCATTTAAGGGAGGAAACACTACGAATATGCAAAAGCATTTGCTCACAAAACAGCATGACCTTAAATGAATGTCGTGTTTTTAATTCCGCTCCGGACTCGTGAATCTCAACCCAGCAGCAGCGGTAACGTTTGCACGTCCTCTCCCGTTAATGCGGCAGGTAAATAATCAACTAACAGTGCATATTATGTTAGCGCGATCTGCCTTATTACAAAACCTGCCATTACTGTGCATTTAGGTGACCATGATGAGAGAGACAGACAGAGTCTGGCTCAGATGCTGGCAGTTCTCGCTGCAGTCTACCGGTAGCGTCTCCTTTCAGGCCAGGATAGACGAATGTCACCGAGCAGTGACTAAGTTTGTGGTAAAAGGCTTGCACCCATTTGCCACAGCAGATGCCCCCGATTTTCGGTAAGTGAATGTGTTTAATTGTAGGCAGGGACATTACTGGATATTCTTGTGTAATTGCTACAAAATAATTTATGTTAAACTTTGTTATTGCTACAGAAGAATATTTATTTTACATTTACAATTTTTTTTCCCGGGGACCCTGTGACACTCCATTGAAGAGCTGTAGCCTGTGGATCTCTTAAGATCTCACTGTTGGGTTTGTAAAGCCATGTTACTCCTAAATTTCTATCTTATTCAAAAAGAAGATATAAAACAAAGTTCTAAGCTAATCAACCTTAGTGTTCTCCTTTTTAAAAAAAAGAATTGATAAGAGAATCGATAAAGAATCGAATCGTTAAACAGAATCGAAAATGGAATCAGAATCGTGAAAATCTTATCGATACCCATCCCTAAATAAGACACGTTTTTTTTATGCGGAAAAACACTACAATGTACATTCAGCAGTGGGAAGATCTATGTGGCACCACTGAGGCTTCCAGAAAAATAACTTATAAGAAAAAAAATGACCATATAGGTCAGGTTAAAACCCCATCCCTCTGCTGTTTTAAATGAATACTGTACAATCGGTAAAGAAAAACGCAAACACGACTACAGAGTCGACAGCAGCAGGTGTTGATTTGAAGGATTTCTATCGATGGCGGTGAGGGAGCCATGGATAGCTTAGAGTGCTGAGGGGAGATGGATGTGCAATAACAGGTACGCCGGAGTGGGAGTCACGGAAATGTGAACCCACCTAGACTGTCCACGAACGCACAGTAACATTCATTCCTCCTATGTAGGCTATGCCCTTCATGTGCTTTTGTGTGTGTGTTCCTGCTGAACCGTCCCTGCCCACTTCTACCCACATCTCCTCATGCTGTGGATAGTGGGCAGGATGACTGGCTCTTCAAGGGATAATTTGACTGCCTTCCATGATCAACTGGTGATAGTGAAGATGACCTCTTTTTTTGTTATTTCTTTTTCAATACAATATACAACTCATTATATTGTTTATTATATCATTGCTGCAGTCGGACATGAAGGGAAATCTTCAATTCAGGGCCGAACGCCTTTTTCTGAGTGTGTATCGGACAGTTTTGGATAGGTGTGGACAAATATGTACACACAGTGACAGTGCTGATGGCTGGGGAAGTCTGGAGCCTACCGCACAACATGGTCCAAATCACTGCTTTCCTCACGGTCGCAAACCATGCTGTTTTATTCGGTGGCTACTGTATAAACTGCAGAGGTCACAAAACAGCAGAGGAGCGATGGAGGGTCTGCGGTGGATGACTGACTCCAGTTCATTTTGCCTTTCTTCTACCCACCTCGCCGTTTCCAGAAGTCTCTCATTGCTGGGAGTGTTTTTACTGCAAAGAAAAAATGTAATTAAGATTGTTTTGTATTTCTGACACCATACATAAACACTAGCGAATGAACACACTTACGAAACAGATGTTGGTCTCAGGGACGATGTCCGACAGAGAAACTACATCTTCATTTCCAGACAGGTTGCCTGAATTATCTGCAGCCCCTTCTACTCCCAAACTGCAAAGCGGAAAAAGCAATCAATGAGACACAATGACTAACATAAGGAGTTAAAAAAAAACAACATATTTATTGATTTTGTTTGTTTTTTTTTTTTAAACAGACTTATCATTGGCTGTACTCTGTACCTGTGGGAAACAGCCTGGTCACAGTCCGTGTTTGCCGATTTGTGCACTTCCACGCCTACAGAGCTGCAGAGGAAAGTCAGAGTCAGACCAGAAGAGATGAAAAAACACAGCGTGAGCACGAGAAGGAAGATGAGAGGTTTTACCGCAGGGGAGGAGAGGTGGAGACAACTCCTGTGCTGCCTTGTGATGAGGTGGACAGATTGGCCTCGCAGTCTGCAGGGTTGTCTACCAGCGGAGGAGTCCGAGGAACCAGATCCGGCCTTCCTGACTGCACACCTGAGGAAAAAAAAGATATTAATATGGCAATTACAGAGAGTTTAACAATCTTATCCAAAGCTGAGTGCAGTTTAGAATAAAATTAAGCCTGTGGGGAATGCAAGGAGCTGCTGCAGATACAGTATGGGGATGAGCGCAACTAGTTGACTAGTCTTTCCAAGGCTGATGCTGCGCACTGCCTTTCTCTTGCCTTCTATGATGGGAAGTTGTAATCAGGTGAAAAGTAGGTGGAAAGTAAGCACACGACAGCTGTGTGCTTCTGCAGGAGTCTGTGACTGTACATTGGCTCAGTCAGAGTTAACAAATCACATTCTGCACAGACACATGGACACTCACTGCTCACATTAACTACAACTACCGTAACAGGTCTGACTTTGCACGTGTGTGTGCGTGACATCAGATGACACAAAGCGCCAAACATTTCAGTGACATTTGAAACATCATTTTAGTGTTTCAAATGTCACTGAGTGTCACTACAATGTGTAGTTTGCTGATGCTATCTGCTGAACTTTATCTCAATTTTTCCCCCACCAATTTCATTTTTAATGCTTGACAAAAGTTTGGGGCCTGAACTTGTTCCCACATCAGTGACCACTCCACTTAACCACAGATCTACTTAATGTGACCTCATCCTCTTGGCTCTTACCGCTGTCCGCCTCGGACTCTGTGCTTTTAAAATGGGAGTGGTAAACTAGTCTGGAATCCACAGATGACTGTCCTGTCGCGTGGGAGAGCGGTGTGGGTGCTCCAAGAGTGGGCGCCCTCCTAAGCCCTGCCTGACCTCCACCGCGGCTTTTCTTGGATGGTGATGGTTTAACTGAAGAGGACAACAGGAAATGATCAGTGCAATCATCGGGACTTTTCACACCTCTGCTCTCAATGCAGTAAAATTACAAAGACAGACGTACGTGGAATTTTCTTGAACACTGTGTTGCACATGAATTGTTGGAAGCGCTCTGCATAGAAGCCAGGTCTGTGAACTGAAACTGTGTCCTAAGTACCAGGAAAAGGATCATTAAAACCTGACAGACCTTATAAAGCAACATTTCTGTTTTAATTCACCAACTCTTAAAAGTGAAAAAAAGCAGTCATAATTCTTTGTAGTCCAAGCTAATCAGTTAATATGCAAGCTACAATTACAATCAAAGTCTATTAATACATATTGTGATGTATAGTGTACGACTTACCCCATCATGGACCAGCGCCTTCCAGGAGTGCTCCAACTTCTTAATAAACCTAAATAATATCACATAATGAAACTATTTAGTGCAACTTACATAAGTGGCGTGAATCTTGCTTATGAATTAGCATAAATGCATATATAAAGAGTGGATTTTGCTGCTCTGACACACATACCTGTAAGATTGGAGAATATCGATGATGCCGATGTAGATCAGCAACCTCTCTCCTTTGCTATTGCGAGCAGGAATACCACCCATGCTGCAAGGTCACAGAAAGAACAACTGCTTCATTCACCATTATTTCACAGCTACAATTTCCCCAGCAAGCAAATACAGGCTGATACAGGTGTGCTGATGGTCACACTCACTGATCTTCTGAATCCAAAGCTCCCTTCCCTCGAGCCTCCCCCTGGATGGACTCCATGGCAGTGCAATACAGACTTTTCTGGGCTTGTGGTCGGCGCTGATCTGGGGTCACTGCTCCTTCAGACCCCGTATTGTCGACCAAACTGCCTCCACTACGCTCCTTTTCTCTGCTGGCCTGGTCCATGTTGTGGATGCCCATCAACAGACTGTAATCCATGATCTTGAAACTCTGCAGGAGCTGCAACAAAGAAACAAGTGCAATGAGAATCGTCTGGCAACGACTGGAACAACCAACTGTAAATCAACGCAAAGACACACTGTTTCACAACAGGCGCCAAAGACTTTGGCAACACTACAATAAAACATGATACGAGTGTACAATAATAAATGTGACATGCTGTCATATATATTACGCTCATTAAAAACCCTGCTGCTGTTTCCTTACGCTACAGCAGCAGGGTTTTAAAATATGACAAAACAGGTCTAAGTGTTCAATCCAGCAACAGTTAAGAACAAAAATATTTGTAATGTGACCACTGATTCTGATTTAATCTTGATCCTGGAAACAAAGTTTGAGCCCAAAGTTGAAATACATCCCATCTACACAGGGATCAAAGTGAGATTTTTCAAGGCGCCAGTTGCCTAGGTAACCCTCTAATACAGTTATTTCCAAAGTATGGACCACAAGAGGTAATTTCTTACATAAAAAAAAATATTTAAAAATTATTTTGGAATCCTTAAAAGTCTTGAGTTGGGTTTTGTGATTTACTTTCAAACTGCATTCAAATATTTAGATGTTAGTCCCAGTCATTAGGTGAAAAGATATAACTCAAATAATCTGCTTTACATGACAACAAAAAAGTCATCTGATCAGAAAATCTATTTTAAACTTAACTAAATAACACACCCAAATCAAAAAAGCAAAAAACAAACAAACAAACAAAAATACAAATGACAGTCCTAATGATTTTTCTTTGGTGGAAAGCCAGAACCTCTGGTGGCTGAAAACCCCGGAACAATGAGGTAATGGAAATGGATCGAATCAATAAAGCATGTGCAGCTGCTGATTAAAAGGAAAAATGATACAGAACATTCTGGTAGTCTGTGCAGATTGGCACCAGTCTACCCCCATCATTTCAAAAGATACCATCCCTCAAAGTAAATAAGGTATTAGTTTGCAGTGTCATGCAAGCTTGAGTCATCTTTCCGACACTACACACATCTGTTGATGATCCTGGAGCATGACAGCAAACAACAACCAATGCCAACTATCAACAACCACTAATCGACTTTGGAGAAATTGGAAATTATAGTAGTCTCTGTAAAATGTAAAGTTTAATGAAGTGCCAGTGCGCTACATGTCGACATTACATGTGTTGTACAATCTGTCAAGCCATTTACAATGTAAGGACTTTTCATTATATGGAAAAATAGCCTAAAATAACTAAATTAATCTAAAAAGTCTTTGATATTTCTTCACATTTATGCTGTATGTAGAGAAATTTCATTTTTTTGTATCTTTTATGCAAGAGGATAACAACAATATAAAGTGGTGGTGTACTATTTGAGCTTGCCAAGCCATTCTCCATACACTTTAGTGCTCAGTACTTCAATAAACAATCTATACAAACCCGCCGCATCTCTGTAACTCACCAGGCAGTCCCTCTGTATAGTCTTGCACAGAGCATTGTAGTTTTCTGCTTCCAGCAGCAGGCCATCAGGCATGTCCTGGATGAAGTCCAGGTCTTTGTGAGTGGGGACGGCCTTCTCTCTCTCCTTAGGGGAAGCCCGTCTCTTATAGGTGGAGCCTTTCAGGTCATACTTGAGGTGCATGGGGATGATTCTGGGCAGGAGATTGTTCATCACAACAATACGGATATTCTTACCGCCTGCCTGAACGCAATACAGTCCATAAAACTTAGGCAGCAGGGTGCGCTTGTTTTGGTTTATATTCTGAAAGGGAGAGGGAACAGACAAAAAAAAATTAGACACTGAAATTAGAAGAAAAACCTCCCCTTACTTGAGAATTGTTGCAGTAATAGTCACTCATTCTAAACAAACTCCCACCTCCCACTCTATCCACACTCACCATGAAGTATCCAGGCAGCAGTTTCTGGAGAAACTCTGCCTCTTTGTGTTGGACAGTCTTGATGATAAACTCATCATCACTGGAGACGTAGAAGAGGGAACCGCTGGCTCCGGGGTTCGACAGCTCGATCAGCGGCTCATTACACAGAGAATACTTCCAGAAAGAGACAGATGAACCCGCATTAATATAAAATCCAAAAAAGCAAAACAGATTTTGTGTTTCTGAAGTAAGATATATGGGTCACTGGCTCCTGATTGCACAATTGATCGATTTAAACTACAGAGACATGATTATCAGTATTTCTAGTGCTGACTGTAAAAACAGACAGCAGAGAAAGAGTCAGGAGGAAAATAAAACGGAGCCAAAAAGCACTTGGACCACAGCTTATCATTCTGTCTGAGATGGCGCAGCTCCATGCCCACTGTGTCAGCAAATGTGGTGATGATGCAGACAAAAGCATCATCATTTTTGAGGAGAAAAAAAAAAAAGGAGAAAACCTTCAGCTATTGTTCATTATTTCTCCAAAAGGGGATCATGTTTGCTTAAACCACTAAATATATATGCAGCATGTAGAGATTCACACACAGCTGTGGTGAACATGGCAGAATAAGCCTTGGGGTTAATACTGACCAGGTAGTCATCTGGCCGAATGCCAAACAGTTCCCTGAAGTAACGAAAGGCGATAGGAGCATAGGTCTTAAAGCGAAAGTCACTGTAGTGATGAGCAGGGGTCAGGTTACTGCCTTCGCTGGAAAGAGCAAGAAACAGATAAACCATTAAACTATGCAAAATGGAAAAATAACAGTTCACCTCATGCATTCAAACAACTCGTATCACAAACCTCGGGAAGAAGATGCTTTCAACAACTACAAAGTCCTGCATGAGAACATCCCTCTCCGCCTTTTGACTTAAGCTGCCAACTGTGTGAGCGATGCCCAATTGGATTGCTCCCTTTAGGGCAGATGACGTAGTCTAGGGAGGTCAGCGAGGAAAAGAGAGTAAGCACTGGAACAAACAGCATTTTACCCCTGTGACTTCTGCTGTTTCACTCACTATTCTTGGGTTTCCAGCAAGAGGAACTTCCAAACTAATTTTAGAATACAGACACCAAAACATGCAGGCCAACCCACTGAACTGTAAACACCTTGGATCACTCCGGCTCAGTGCTGCGGGTGTCAACAAATCACTGTTGTCACTGACCCCGACCCCTGCCCTTACTTTTTTGTAAGTAGTTTCTCCTGTGGTAGTCTCAACGCCCCGGTGTCCAATGGTCTTCTTCATACTCATGCCTGAAGAGCCGGGCATCTGAGGAGAGAGGCAGAAAGCTGTCAAAGGAAAATCAAACACAGTTTGATGTGTGTTTGTGCTGGTAAACGCAGAAAACAATGAGCTAGCTGTTGCAGTATGCAAGCTTTAGGCCAGATGGATGACAGCCTTAACCAAGCGATCAACTGGGCTCACAAGTAACTGAACTTGCAGAGGAAGGTCAAATTGTAAGGCAGGAAACTAATCAAACAGCAATCAGCCTGATGTTACTATTCCTGACCAAAAAACTACCTCTGCACTTCCTCCTTTTATTGATATTGGAGCTACAAAAATGTCATAATTGTTTCTGAACCTACAGTATTATTATGAGTAACTATTCATATTTCAAAGTAAGAAAACTTTTAAATATTAATCTATGTAGAGCTTTGAGGAACAACAATGTGGCTCTCCTGCGTTACAAGAGCCACTCTCTCACTTCCATAATAATAAACTTTTAGTGACCGATGCCTCAAACTGCCAATGTCTGGATGAAAAAAGGTTCAGCCCTATAAGCCTGCTCTGCTCTCCTTTTCCCCTTAGAGCTGAGAGTAGTTACATTTACAGTATCTGCCATAGTTACCTCGGCGGGGGCCATTTTTCGAATGCTGCTGGTCCCTAAAAAGAAAACAGAAAAAGTTAAATTGAGAGGAAGATAAGTGCTCGAAAACCTGCAAGGAAAATCCTACATAGAGTAAGCACTCTGTATAGTTCCTTTGTTGAGACTCTGAAACCCAACCCATGCAGTCAGTACTCAAAGTCAAGGCTTGAAATAAATTTGAAGAGTTTGAGTTGGAAAGGCTTTGACCACTGACGAATTTGTTAGGGACTGTTTATGAATCCCTGTGCTGGTTAATTAGGCTATTTCCAGCACTGACGGATGACTATAAGACCGATGATGAACCCAAACCTAAATGTGGCCACAGTTACTACCGGCTGCACCCAGTATGTGAACTGGAACTACTTCTCCCATGAGCTAGCTGCTCCACATTCATCTGTTCCCCCAGGATGTGTGTCAACATCACCACCTCCTTTCAAAAAATGGTGCAATTTCTAGCTGTTGCTGTCCCAGCCTACTTTAAGCCTCAGACTAACTTTGATTTTATAACTGAAATCCACTCCAGCATGCTCACGAATGCTCAGATGTTTCCTAAAGGCAACCTAACAACTCTTTAAATGCTTTGTTTTGAACGGTGATGGACTGAGGGGCAGCACAAAGGCCTGGTATAAGATAAATAGGGATTTTTTTTTGAACAGTGAATCACGCAAAGCTACTCTTGTAGCCCAAGAATGAAATATGAAGCAGGAAATGAGGTAACAGGTCCCCTTTAAATTAGGCCATTTAGTAAACTCTGTTATCCGACTAGAGATCTATGAGACTGATATTCTGTTCAATTCTGTGTAATTCAATGTTTATTTCACCATGTGACAAGCTAATGCAGCATGGAGATATGAAGGAACACTGGAGGGTTTTCATGCCTGCATGAAACCTCAAACACAACAGCTTCTGTTTGTGTGCCTGTAAAATAATAATGCAAACACCAAGCCAAGACCTTTGCTTAATTGCTAAACAAAGATAAGTCATTAAATCCCAGCATACAGATGTTTGGTAAGAAAGGCACTCAAGTGCAACAAAATAAATACAGCGAATGAGTTCCTGTGTCCTGTCCTTATATAAACTTGGTGTATACACTTACTACATCGCCCACTCTGCAATCACCTCTAGCCTGTAACCAATGGCAACATCTCCTCCACTGCAGTACCATAGGTCAATATACACACAAAAAAAGACTGAAGGCTACAAAGTTTTTACACCTGTAGTAACAAGTGAGTCTGAAAATTTGTCTTTCTACCCCCATCAAATCTAAACCTGGCAATGCACAGAAAATGAACATTTTCAACCTAAGAAATGCAGGACTATGTATAATTACACAGACTCACTGAATGCCATGCATCTCTCCTGAGTTAGCAGGGACACACTGCAATCTGCTGGGAAACAATGAGCATCGCTCTGCCCACATTCCCTCTCATTATGTAAAACAACACACTATATCATCACTACTCATGCAGTTGCTGCTCACAGTCACAAACACAGCACACCCATGCGAATACCTCGCTGCAACGCTCTCCTCCAGAACTGAGTCCTGATATCTGCGGAGCAGGACAAGGTCAGGCTAACTGGCTTAACCGAGTACATGCGCCACACTGAACTCATTTAAAGTAGGTGTGCACAGAAGTAAAGGAAGCGTGGCCTAAATAATTAAGTCAGTTAAGCAACTGCTACTTTTCTTTTATTGTAAAAGGAAAACCATCAGGACCGTTTACAAAACAAACATGATTAAATGTGCTCAACATGTAAAATAGAATATTGTTTACCAAAAATAACTTAGAAATGGACAATTTTGTTTAAGGTAGATAACACAGACTGTTACTAAATTTGGATCATGCGTACTTGCATGTGTAGTAACCCCAGATGGCCCAGTTTCAGCTATGCTTGTTATTATTACTACCATCTGTATTTATTAAGGTCAATATACAACCAGTTAATAGCACATATTGTGCAGCAGACTATGGATAGTAATGAGACCAAGTCAGTTCCCTAACAATGACTTTAGCTCATCAGCGGCAGGCCTCACTACAATAGGCAAACCATCTGTTCCTCTCTGTGTACCAAACAAGTCCCTGCCAGCCTTGTTTACGCACAGCCCACAGCATGCACGGCAATACCATGACCCATGGACACACTCTTTAAGGTCATTTCTGAAGAGTCCACAAATATACTGTTTCTTGACCTGATTTGGAAACGACGCTGATAAAAGCTATTAGGGAAACCACAGTGAGTTACTGTCACTCAAGTGTCTGTGAGCGTGAATGCTACATCTTGTGCTTGTGCTGTCCCTGGATTTCAGCCATCTGGGAGCCACAGGAGTGCTTTAAAAAGCAACTATTTTTATTCACTGATTCAGACTGGGTGGTTACCAGGAGCAGAGCAACTCAAACATATACAGGGAAGCTAATGAGTGATGCACAACTAACTGGATTAGAGAGATGCATCTTCCCCATTGCGTGCTTTATCTTGGGGGAAAAGAAGTCTCTGAAAGCACATGATCAATCTATATCTGTGAAGCAAGTGGAACCAGTTCATGTGCAGTGCACAGGTCTGATATCGGTGATCCTAAACAAAGGTGCTTAAATAAATTAAGGCTGCTTTATTGACTTAGATAAGCGTGACAAAGGAACGCAGAAAAAGACAATACACCACCTAAACTGAAAATATTTGTACAGTAACAGTTGGGAGGTGTTTAATGAAGCCCTTAGGTAAGTGAAAGCGGATTTTTTTTTTATCCATGTACATCACAAAACGTTCAGAGGAAGAGGAAACGGGATGTAACAGGCGAGGAAGACGTGAGTGAGAGCAGTTACCGTTAACTTCCCATAGATGCTTGAT